TAATAATATACTACTACTATATATATATATATATATATATATATGTATATATATATATGTGTGTGTAGTTTATATATATAAATATATATACATATATATACATATATATATATATATACATATATTATAATTTATAATTTATAATTTATAATTTACTTGCATATGCAAAGCAAGAGCTGCTTACTCGCACAGGTGATGATTGTGTCCCAGTGCACATTCTTACGGATGCACATCTGCATATATAATATACATGGATGTCATGTTCATCATCCAACCCCGGGGGGGGGTATGACTGGTGTCTGTAGAACAACATATATCTTGCGTGCATATAACGTACTTCTTCTACTGTTGTTTTGCCAAAATGACTATCTCACACAGCCGATTATTGGCTTCCCTACAGCCACTTCGTTGGGTCTTCTGGCCGCCATTGGAAACGTGTGCGCGTTCTATGAGAGTGGCTCAAGTGTGGTTTCTCTCACCGAATCAAACTTCGACGCAAAGGTCATCAAGTCAGATAGTGTGGTACTAGTGGAATTCTATGCTCCATGGTATGTGGAGATACAATCAAAGCTACGTATATGTATGTGTGTTAGTTGGAAATCGGTTTGGTATAGACAAGTGCATGTATGTGATTTTGTGTACTTATGTATCTAGCCAGAGGTTATCTTGTTCATTCAGCTGTATAGACATACTATATACATTGCATATATGCATTTATATATATATATATATATATTGTTGTGTGTATTTATTTGTACGCACGTGCTTGATCTACCACATCTAGCAGCATGAGACAGTGGAAGTATATTCTATAAGTCGTCCCTGCATGCTTGTATCTTTCCTATCCCTTATCGCACTCACCGACTAACCACAACTACATCCCACTAACTGGCGTGTGTGTGTAGGTGTGGTCACTGTAAAAACCTGACACCCGAGTATGAGAAGACAGCCAAGATGCTGAAAGGAGTGGCGCGTGTGGCGGCTGTGGATGCAGATCAGTATAAATCCCTGGGACAGAAATACGATGTACAGGGCTTTCCGACGATCAAGGTATGTACAGAATGTTTGATAAGTCTCACTGCGTATTTCGGGAAAATATTATAAATATATCTATATATATATATATATATTGAGCGAGATTAGACCGGCACATCGACCGCTCTATTACTTTTATTATAGTAAAGCCCGCACTACACACATATAGTTGGTGGTGTTTCAATGATAAGCAGGAGGCGTAGCCCAGGGGGTTCATATTGTAGAATTGGATTGCTGGTTTCTGACTCCTATTCGGTATAGTTAGAGGTCCAGATGCTTTTGTACTATACTGTAGTTAAGTCTTGTAGATGATGCTCACTCCAGAGATAGATTGATGGTGTCCCGCCCATTTGTGCTTCCAGCCGTCGTTGTCACATACGAATGTACGTACAGACAGGCACATATCCAAACACGTATGCGTATACGTTTATCCATAGGTGTTTGTTACGACTATGGCGCGCGGTGGTTTACATTCCGGGAACGTTACTAACCAATTCTAATTAAATGGATTCTCAGCTATTCGGTGCAGACAAGCAGAAACCCACCGACTACAACCAGGCACGCGACGCCGCCTCCATGGCCAAAGCCGTGCTCAAGGAGGTCAACACAGTGGTTAAGGACCGTATCGGGGGCAAAAGCTCGTCGAGTGGGGGGTCTAAATCCGGATCTAAGGGTAGCGGCGGTGGCGCAGCGGGCAAGCCTGTACAGCTGACGGATGCAAACTTTGAGGAGACTGTCATGAAAAGCTCAGACACGTGGCTGGTTGAGTTCATGGCGCCATGGTACGGGTTGAGTTGTGTGTGGTTGTCTCGTTGAGTTTGGCATGAGTGTTCTTGTTTTTCGACGTTTTATGGCGACCGGTATTTGCTTGAGGTACATCCCTCGTTTATATACTGAGAATATATGTGTGTGTACCTGTATATAATGGTTTGTGTTGTATGCATCTTCTTCTGTTAAGTAGTGTGGACTTATTGTGTGGGGTGTTCCTGAGCTTCTGCCGCTTAGTAATGTCATCTATTATATCGAGATTGGGTTTAGAACCTGGTTTATGTTTGACCGTAAGGCGCCCCTATCCTCTCGCTTTAGGTGTGGCCACTGCAAGAATCTCGAGCCGCAATGGCGACAGGCAGCGGCTGAGCTCAAGAACACGCCCAACGTCAAGCTGGGTGTAGTAGATGCCACCGTGGAACAGCAGATTGCCGGAAGGTGTGCGTGTGTATATGTACGTATTTGCGTGTGTATATGGAGGTGTATGCGTGTGTATATGTATTTGGATAAATATGTGAATAGCAAGCTGTCTGGTGCTGTGTGTACACCCATGTGCCTGTTCGCCTATAGATGGGCCCAATTCAACTGCTTCCTGTATGGTTCTCATTATCTTTCGGATGGCTTCCCGTCCTGTCATGCGGTATTTACAATCAATCACAATCAATAGTGGTCTGCACCTGTTATACTATCGAGAGAGCTCCCTATATCATATACTCACATCCTGGCCATCACCGGTGTTTTATACTCAGATATCAAATCAAGGGCTATCCCACCATCAAGGTCTTCGGCAAGAACAAGAGCAAGCCCAGTGACTACAACGGACCTCGTGAGGCTGATGGCATTGTTGCGTATGCAAAGGATCTGGCCATTAGAGCTGCCCCTGCGCCTAAGGTGTACGAATTGACGGATGCCAAGGTAGGGTTCGGGGGTTGTGTGTGTGACATCGTTCGTTTGAGCGTGTTCGTGTGACATTGCACGTGTGCTTGTTCGTGAATGTGACTAGGAGTGAATATAATATGTGACAAGTAGTGCGTGTAGAATGTGTTAAGAAGTGTACACAGAATTTGTCAAGGAGTGTACATGGAATGTGACAAGGAGTGAATATAATATGTGTCAAGGAGTGTACATAGAATGTGTTAAGGAGTGTATATAGAATGTGTCAAGGAGTGTACATAGAATGTGTTAAGAAGTGTATATATCTATCACCGCGTGTGTATGAGTTATTTGCGCAAATGTTAGGCTCAGAGGTCTTAGCTGTGTGTATTCATAGAGGTATGGTAGATTGCCTGAAGTCTCTGAGCAAGCGTATGCTCGGTGATTTGCGCCTGCTATCTATTTGGTATGTCACACATTAGCCTGTGCCTCGTCATTTCAACTCTCTGTGTCGTTCTTCTCCTCAATCCCCTGCACGTTACCTAGATTTGGGAGGAACAATGCGGTGGCAAAAGCATCTGCGTCGTCACGGTGCTGCCCCACATTCTGGATTCAAGCGCAAATGAACGCAATGAGTACATCAAGATGCTCAAGCAGGCTGCCAAAGCCCTCAAGAGCCAACCCTTCAAGTGGGTACGTCTGCCCAGTCAATACCATGCACTTGCCCTTGCTGGGTGTAGTCGCATTTCTTACTCACGCTGATACGTTGAAGTTGTATGGAATGTACTGTGTGTACGTACACGCGTGCGTTGAGGGGGTTCCTCATGAATGATAGCCTATGGGATTGGTTCATGCAACTGGGTATAGGAGGGCAATCTACTGTGCGGAAGCCGTGCTGCTCTGTTTTGCTGAGCACTCGGTGCTTCCTCCTTGTCGCGTTGATCGTATACTGGTGTGGCAGTGTAAACACTTACTTGTGACACGTGTAATTTCTCGATCATTCCATCGCTTATATATATATATATATATATATATATATATCTATAGGAATGTGATAGTGGTAACTGCTATCGCTTTCACATGTGCTTAGGATGTGTTATGTAAGTGGGTCCTCAAAGCAAGTGGCGGTGCAATAATGATCCGCCGCGGAACGAAACACATTTTGAGTTTTATAGTTTGTTCTCATTTTAGCGACCCTTGTATCCTTCATCGTCATCATATGCATGGTATTCATTATATCTCATACACACTCCTCAATTCTTGCGTTATGTAATCTTCCCGCAAGCCTTGCATTCTGCCTGATACTCATTACATTATTTGCATTCCAACACCCAAATAGCTATGGACTGAGCCCGGCAAGCAGGCTGACCTGGAAGAACGCCTCAACATCGGTGGCGCAGGTTACCCCGCTGTGGCGGCTGTGAGTCTGAGCAAGGAGAAATACTCCAACATGCGTATGGCTGTCGATCTGGAGCACGTCAAGAGCTTCTTGAACAACCTCATGACTGGCAAGGAGCATCTAGGCCCGCTTCGCCAGGTAGGCCTTTCACTGTGTACTTACAAGGCCTGATAGTATAGTTGCAATGTGTTGGGGAACTGTTCCATTATTATGGCAATATTCTATCACTGCTTTTGTGTTTCTGTGTATGTGTGTGTGTAAATATCACTCGCATGCGGTGGGGGTTACAGTTGAATGTGTTTGGCATACATTTTTTCCTATACACATCCCTACCTATAGCAGGGAAGAGCAAGTTTAAGTGTATCACAAGAACTGCCATGAATTAATACAATTAAGAGCCGCGAATGTCATTTCTAAATGCGGCGTGTCCGAATTTTTTTGTCAATGTAGGTACCTACAATTGCTATTGCCGATGCCTGGGATGGCAAGGATGGTGAACTTCCTAGGGAGGAGCTCTAGAACACTTGGCAGTCTTAAGACGAATGCTTTAAGACTGACCGCATCTTCGGTGACACTCCGAATGAGTGCAATTCTCTGTGCGTCAGTAATATCACAGTGGAATAGAAATATGGCCGACAGACAGTTCGGTCTCTTTCTTAGACAGTCGGTAGCAATTTCAAATAGAATAAACTGTGGGAAGATACTTGGTCGCCGCTTTGTTGGAGTGGCTGTTTCCCGATGGGGCTTTATAGTCACGCCTTCACTGTTGACATCTGTACGATGATGCAGATAGTATCGTCGAATAGTAGGGAACTTATCGAAGTATATGCACATTTGAAGGCCGAGCATAGTCTGCATTACGCTATCGCTCGATCGTGCCTATACTTCCGATCTGAAGAGGAGTACTGAACGTAAGTGGACATATACAATTACAGATATTCTGTGCAAAAGAAATGAGAACCTAATATCACTTTACATATTTAGTTGTATACAGTTATGCATAAAAAGGTATACAATATATAAAATATATTAATAATTTACATATTTACATATTTACATATATATATATATATATATATATATATGTGCATACATTGCTTCACGTACTATCATACAATACGTCTAATCAAGTTTGTTTATACAATTAATACTTGGGTTAATATTTTTGTGTGCTATTTATTTACCATTACAACAAGGAAGGATTCTCAACAATACGATATGTATAAATATCAAATATGTATACGCGCATTGAATAAGGCGGGAGGAGTCGGACGACCTCCCTAAAAATTCGACAATACATTCTTGTTTCGTGCATTTTTTATTATATTAGAGCGAGTCTGAAATACATATGTACGCCAACTATTGAAATAGTTGCAAAGGCCATGATGCCACGTGGATTCAGGGAATGCTGGAAATATTCATAGCCTTCTGAAAATTGAACAAAATATTCATAAATAACCCTCTCTCTCTCTGCTGGGGAGAGAGAGAGAAGAAGAAAAAAGTATTTGTTTTTTAATATTAAAAATATATTATTTTGTGAACGATTTGTTTTATTTTAGAAATAATTCTTCTTCCGGATGAAATTGCTTCAAGATTGTCGCCCGTCGCCGTGTTCAGTCTCCAACCTATGAGTCGAGAAACTCACAAATCCTCCTCTGGTGAGGAAATACAGATCGATGAGAAGTAATCCTCATACATATTTACAATAAAAATAACGAATACAATCCGCGGCATAGGGAACGGTCAATGGACGCACGTAGTATCCACTATACTGGTACAAATAAACTTGAAAGATATTACGGTCTCTTTTAACGTTATGAATAACTTGTGTAACAAATAGTAATGTGCATCCTCCCCAGGAAATGCTTGCCATCATATCGCGTAGGTTCAAGCTTCTTGCGAATCACCATGAGCAGTCAAAAACAAGCCCCTACTCCTGTGGCAGGATTCCTTGAGAACATACAACCCGTTCACACTGTTTACATAGTGGCTCCAAGAGTTTCTATCCCAGCTTTATATGCTTTGCTGAGTACCCTGATCGTAGGTCTAGTCTTAACCGTTGTGACCGTTGCATCGAACAGCTGGGGCGAGCTCAGCGATACTAGCTCGGGCACAACGCTGAACTGGGGTGTATGAAATATCTGCCAAGAAATTGTGTCGAATGGTACGATTACCGGCAGCTGCCAGACATTGTTCGAATCAAACACATATGATAACCTCACAATACATTGGTCTACAAGCGACATATCTATGGTCATTGCCATCCGATTTTTTCTGCTTCTCGAGGTCTTTACCGTTATAATAGCCTTCCCATTGGCAATTTTGGCACATTGGAAGTGTAGAAGGTATAATTAGAACGCGCGAACTGATAGGCTCAATAATACCGGCAACAACCTGCATTTGCATAACATCAACCTATTGGTGCGTCTAAATCTTTCTTCAAACGGACCATTTAATTTAATGTATAGAACAGCGTGTAATTCAGCGTGTAATTATATCGGAAGAGATTTGTCAACGATTGTCTCTCATCCTCCGGTTTCTCAAATAAGCAGATTTGGTTTGTGGAAGCATCTGCCGCTGGCCTTGTGGCTTGGAAGTTATTCCGTTGTGATAGGATTATATCTGCTACTAGGTGCCGAGATCGTGCGCGGTTCAGAATCAAAAACCGTTCTGGTGTCACAGTTTGTGAGCAGCGGATTCATCGCACACGCGATGGTTGTGGTGCCGCTGTTGGCGTGTGTGATAATCTTCTGGTTGGCCAGTTTTTTGTGCGTTTCTGTGTCGCTATTTGACAGGAGATTAACAATCTTGGAAGATGGCCAAACAGTATATGGGCTGTGCACAGACTCGCTGATATATGGCAAAGAAGAATCAAAGGTATGATACATGTGTTTTTTACATGTGTTTTTGTTTTCAAGAGTCAAAGCTAGGACATGTTTTCTGTCATTTTGACATAATTAGTACATACATTCCGTAAGCCACATGCAGCAATTTCTTTTCCCACGTTGGTAATATCATAGCTCTGTCTCATACTACTCTGATACTATACTTTCAACTTTTAATGGGGTGCCAAGGACGACTGCAAAGTTGTATCTGATGATCGCCTTCAGGTGGCCGTCGAGAATTCAATTTGAACTGGAAACCGAATTTTATCTGGCGTATCAAATATAGTCAGGCTTTCTAACTTTGACTATCCGAGCTGTAATGCCCTATTATTGATAAAAAGCTGTTCTTGTATGCTACATAAAAACGAAAAAGGCTTTTGACATGATATATTGATTACATAATATATCGATTTAAGTTCTTCGCGACATGTGCTTGCACAGTGGTCACGGAGAAAGGTATCTAAATCAATAGGGTGTTCAAGTTATCTTTCATTCCAGCATAGTATATGAATTTCGTCTCACCTCGTACTAGAACGTTCCATGATAATAGGATATTTAATAACGGGTGAAGAAGTTACATACACTATGCTGTACAAGAGATGACATCATCGATCTACTTCATGAGCCATCTGACAGTGACATCATATTTTTTAAAAAAAGTGAAAGTTGTCACCTATTTACAAATTCATTTTTGTTTTTGTTTGTTTTTTTTAAACAAAACAAACAAACAAAAACTCCATGTTTTCATGTAACAAAACAAAAGGTCATATTTTATTTATTTAAAAACAATTGTTTTTAAATATTTCATAGCTATTTATTTACATATTTATTTATTTATTTACATATTATAATATATATTAACAAAAAGTCCCGAGTCATGGAGACTGGAATGTCTCATGGCTCAAGGACTCTTGGAGGCATCAGGTGACTTTTTTTAATAAAGTTTTAAGAGGGCTATCCATCAGACATGGACTCAATGTCACTCACAGACTCAGATTTTCAGAATTGGAGACTTGGACATATTATAGACATGTGGGGGCCTGGGCGGGGCCTTATGTATGTGTCATACTTATGTACATATTTATATCTATTTATATTTTTCTTTTCTTTTTGTGTGTTTACATATTTATAAATACGTAAATACATGAGATTTTGACATTTCAATTTTTTTTCTTCAATGCGCGAGATTTTAGAGGAAGAGTCAAAATTATCACTTATGATTAGTCATAATATCTGTCCGTGGCAAAAAGCTGCCGAAAAGTCTTAATTTTTAACAGTCCAACTATTTAAACTTATATACCTCGCTCTTATTCTTATTTTGTAAAAATATAAAAGGCTTTTGTTTGTTTTTAAAAACCAAATATATACAAAAGTTAGCTACTAGAAAAAAAGCCAAAGGCAAAAAAAGTAGACAAAAAACAAATTTCCCAGTTCGGTTTGTTCAATTCGATCCTGAAAACAGCACTACAATTTTTATAAATATTATACTTTTAACTCTATTGTTTTTTTTCAAAACGAAAAAGACTCGAAAACAACTGTTTCACGCAAGATCACGGATTTTAAATTTGGCGTGAATTGTATTTTGGAAAGGGAGAAATTTGGGGGGTTTTTCTTTTGGTTACTTGCGACACCGGGCATCACATGGAACAGGCTCACACTATTTTTTTTAAATAAAAAACAAAATAGTAATACTTAATTTTTATTGAAGTTCGAACTTGGCGAATCTTAAGATTCAACTTTTGTGTGTGGTTGCCTTGGTGTGTCACCAATTATTTAACATCCATAGAGGATCTAATGTAGAAGGGCGATAAAAAAAAGGAAATGGAATATATATTTTAACCTTCATATAATATAAATTAAAATTCACAAACTCTTTCATTCCAGAAAACCATGCGTTTCGAAAATCAATACATAGGTTTTACAGGGGTTGTTTGAAGCCTGGTCGCTGGTGAAGCAATGTTAATCCGTATAATGATAAGTGGTCACATTACGAAATATTAAAAAAATATTCGACCTACTGTTCACTTCCTATTTAAAAGAAATTTTGGAGGGGACATCGACGTTGCTAAATTTTATGCCAGTAAAGTCAACATCGCTTTGCAACTCATATATCGAAGGCTCCAAATATAACTGAGGAAGCACAATTGAAATTGCAGAAATTGCTATAAACTTCAGATTTGCACGTACAATACGATCAATCTTCCACTTCGCGACTTACATACACACTCTAAAGTATAGTCATATCATAGCTGTTCAAGATGAAGAACCTAATACCAGTAACGGCTCTTGTAGTGCACGGTGACATACATCAAACAGTGATCATATATGTAAAGCGAACAGCGTTGCCAGTTACGATGGTGATGATCGGAAGCTTGATCATATCCCTTGTGATGACCGCCAGTGCCATTGCGCTTCCTTATTGGAGCACATTCAAGGACTCCGTCTTCAACACAGATCTCAACTGGGGTCTGTGGACCATTTGTCGAGAATATGTGGTAAATGGCCAAACTTTTAAAGAATGCCAGGATTTATTTCAACCGATCGGTGCGGATCGATCATCTGTAGTTTTGGAGTGGACCTCGCATGACGAGACAATGATTACTGTGATCAAGGGTTTTCTATTAGCAATGCTAGTATGCGTGCTGGCTGCCGTACCACTTGTCTTCCTCTCCCATCGAAAATCAAACAAGTAAGTTCTCATTTACAGTAATACCTCACCTGTTTTTCACTCGTGTGTGATTGTTCACGATTTTGCTGGCTTGTTGAAGTATCGTGATCTTCAAAGAATATGTGCAGCTAATATTCTATCATAAAATCCTTACTTTCGGAAATCCTAAACTTGTCCACCGTGGATCACCCCGTTCAAAATTTTCATGGCCTCGATTGGTGTTCCAAAGTCATAAGAAAATTATTCTTATTAACATGAGCGTCTTTCTATCTCCTTCCGCTACCAGATTCGGAATGTGGATGCATCTGCCACTGGGTCTATGGCTTGCACTTTACTTGACAATCATTGGCCTGTATCTCACGCTTGATGTGGACGCCTTGTACGGCCTGCAAGGCCAAAAGATGGCCCAATTTTTGGGCGCAGGGTTCTGGCTGCACATTACTGCCTTTGTTCCCATTTTGTTGGCTGTGACACTCTTCTGGTCGTCTAACTATATTTGTGTATCAACCGAGAAGTACGACCGAGATGGGAATCTGCTGGCTCCAACCAATGATGAGTCAATTGCTCAGTTTATTGGCAAAAAGGAGGGTAGCAACAACGATATTGTGGTATGTAAACCCGGCTTTTCATCTATTATTTTATTCTGAAACATTCAGTAGTCCATGTGCGACTTCTATTATTAACCATTTCATAACATCATGAATTTCTACTCGTTTGCAAGTGGCCGCGAATCAAACGCTTTTAACATAAAATGCATACACACATTTTTTTTATCCCTGTAGGCGAGCGTTAGCCTCGATCTTGGATCTGAAGATGAGAAGGACAAAGGTTCACACAGAGGCAGAAGTAGCAGGGACAGTGCTGATTGTGATGTCGCCACTGAACAGGCATGAACAACAACTGAGCATCACGCAACAGTCCAGAATAATTAAAGTTCGCATAATGATAGCACTCCGTGAGTGCATACGTTGGCAAGCGCTGTGGCTTTTACTGAATTAAATAGACTAAACGAAATGTTTTATATAGGTTTATACCAGAGAGGATGACAATTGACATGTGGTGCAAGTTGGAAATACCTTTGTAAATAAATATTTAAAAAATATATGTACATACAGGGCAGTGTGACACTCGCCACACATCGTGCATGATTTTTATATTTAAACCCTGCTATCTCATGATTCCTAATTTGGAGAGGCGGGAGATATTTCATGCCGATTCATTGGACAGAAAACGGACACCTTGACAAGGGACAACCCAGATCAGTGTTAGTTTTAAAAAATGTTTATAGCACCTTGTGTGTATCCTGTTTTGTCGAGTATTGTAATTTTTAGAGGTTCAACTGGGGGTTTGGTATGTGCACTGGTATGAGGCTATCTGTGTCATCTGTGATTTTAAAATAAATAACTGATTATTTCTTTATTTATAATTTATTTACATATTTACTGACCATCGATGGGTTGCGAATGCTTGTGCTGTTTAGCGAACACTATATTCATTAATAGGATCTGTTGATACTTCCGGTTAAAGCACTGTTGTCACTGCGACGCTCTCCAAATTCAGCGGCGAACCGAGAATAGATCATCATATATATTATACGCTCTACTTTCAAACAAGCCTGTATAGCTGCCAGCAAGAGTCGGGGATATATAGTATTGTACTCAAGTACTCGGTCAGCATGGACCAGGAAACTTTAAATTCGCTTTCGAATCAGTATTTTGAAAGCGTGGGTGCTGGTGACGAAAAGGAACAAATCAGACATCAGGTTCTAAAGTCCTTGAAATTACAACTGAACGAAACGTGCCTACACAAGAAGTTAATCGTATGTTCTGATATGTCAGGATTTTCTCGCACCACAAAAGAAGACGGGATTCTGTTTTTTTTGGGACAAATAAAGCAGATGCAGGTGTGTCCGTGTGAAATAATGTACAAGCGAATCTCAAACACTGATTGACC